TTTTGAACCCTTTTATTTGTTATGCCCAAACAGCTAAAAAAAAACAAAATAATATGCTAAGTGGCGTATACCTTTCTCAACTTGGTCGTTAAATTCTCTTTGGTAGTAGTCTCAAACGAGCACATTCATTTTATACACATACTAAATTAACATGTGGTTTCACAAATATATACAGCTTACATATTCCATTGTACTTTCCTCAGATATGGTTTAGATTCTCTTGTACTTTTTCAACTGAAACTTTCATTATTATATATATTTACCAACCATTCATTATGCTATGTTATGTACAATATTCATGGAAAATTTCTTACAATTATTTCAATTATAATTATAAACGCGTTGATACTGTGAAAACAGCACGTGACGGAGAAGAAATGATTAAGGGCAAAATAATATATTTTTATATAAAATAATTTACTTAGTAGAAATTGAAAAGAAAGTTCACTAATTGCTTGAGATCTGCCAATGAAATTCTTCTCGTTACTGCTTAGACTCTACCTTTCCCTATGCGTTATCAATAGCTGCAACGGATCTAAGGAACACAAGTACAAATTTATTATCCTTCTTTACAAATTTATTTTCCTGCATTTGAAAAATTTGTTCCTTTCCCTAATAGTTTACAGACGGACTTAATATTGTTTATTATGTTTTTTTTTTAAATACTTTTTAATACTCATATTTTTGTTTTGCATTATCACAATTTTTTTCCTTTTAAGATTGCTGAGACTTTCTTTTGTTGGTCAACATGACAAGAACTTGGTTTATGGGTTCTCTGTGCAGAGGGAAAAATCTTTAGGGAAGATAAGTTTGAAACCAAATAATAATATAATGTAAGACAACTTAATAGTAAAGTTCATAAACAAAATGTTAAGAAATAATAGTTATTTTTTTTTTCTATATACATTGTGACCGAAAAGTTTCCGGAAATTTTAAATAAAACGCAAAATTCTTAATCTTCATCAATATTTATTTTATCTCCTTCAAAATATGCTCCATTAGAAGCGATACACAAATGCCAACGTTTCTTCCAATCATCAAAACATTTTTTATAGGCGCTTTCCGGTATGGCTTTGAGTTCCCTCTGCGAATTCTGTTTTACGTCTTCTATGGATTCAAAACGCGTTCCTCTGAGTGGTAATTTGAGTTTGGGAAACAGGAAAAAGTCACACGGTGCAAGATCAGGTGAATACGGTGGCTGTTCGATGGTATTTATTGAATGTTTGGCCTTAAAATCGTTGATAATGTTGAACAAATTGAGGTGAATCGGAACAAGCCGAGCGTTGACACGTCGCATACACAAATTGTCCACCAAAATCAAACGAGCCATCTCACGACCGATGCCTAGCTCTCGTGCTATCTCTCTAACACTCACATGAGGATTTTTGAACACGATTTCCTTTGCCTTTTCAATGTTTTCGTCGGTGGTAGAGGTCGAAGGTCGTCCAGAACGCGGCATGTCTTCGACGGTCGTACGACAGTCCTGAAAGGCTTTGTACCACTCATAAACTTGAGTTTTCGATAAAACTGATTCCCCATAAGCCTTTTGTAGCATTCGCAACGATTCTGCACACGAAATTTCGTTCGAAAAACAAAATTTGATGCAAACTCTTTGTTCAATATTTTTTTCCATTGTTTTTTTCGCAACGCACTACTGAGGTGAACTGGTTTCAACAGCTGCCGTAAACGAACTGTCTGACAGATCGCGCCATTTTTGGCATAGTAATTAAGGACAGTGCTGCCAAACTACATAAACTTAAAATATCGAAAAATATACAGCGCGCGAATTTTAAATGAGAATTTCCGAAAGCTTTTCGGTCACAATGTATAAACAAGGAGTTTATAAAAACAAAGTTACCAGTTGAGAAAATTTATTGGAGCTAAAAAAAAATATTCCATGGTTTTAAAGAGTTTTTACGGTTTTTTCCAGATTTTTTAAAATTTAAAATGTCCAAGTTTTTCTTCTAATGCCCAAGAAATGCTGATGTTACATATGCATATATACATATATATAATATACTTTTCTAGAAGAAAACATTTTCTTTAAAAACTTCATATAGAATTACACAAAGGAATTACTTATAAACATGTTGTGTAAAAAATAAATTGTATTCCAACGAACAAAACTCATCTCATTACAGGGAAAACAATATCAGGAAAAAGTGTATTACACATACTAGGTGGATTGATAATTACCTGACTTCACAACAGGTGGCAACGTCAGAATAAAATCAATTATATTTTTTATATTTGGCAAGTTTTAAACGACAGCTGCAAAAGTTTCGACTGTATCCGAAGTTGGGTTGGCTTTTTGCAAATAATTGAAAGAGTGCACCTTGGTGATTTTTTCAAAAAGGGAATATCGTTCATAATAATATTTCTACATTTGAAAGGAATAAAGAACTCTGTAGCCAAATTAGAAATGGAGTTAGTTTATGACAACGTTCCACCATCGTTAACAGTAATAAAACATTGGAAAGCTGGATGTAAACGTGATCGTAAGAGTGCTTTTGAAGAGAACGTCCGGGTCGTTCAAAAGAAATCACAATTGAAAAAAATATTGACAACTAAAAAAATCTACGATATTGTGTTAGATCATCCAAAAATTAATTTGCGTGAGATAGCAGAGGTGACAAATATATCATATAAACGTGAATCAGATATTTTACATGAACGGTTGGGTATAAAAAAGCTTTGGGCAAATGGATTGTTCCAATTGAAAACGATAAGTCATACCTGACTATGACCGAATAGAGTCGAATAGTGACAATTGATGAAACATAGTTCCATTATTTCACACCTGAGGGAAAACAACAGCCCAGGGAATGGGTAGAGCTCCGAAACGACCACGAACTCAACAACTGCCTGTAAAATTTTTAACTTCCGTATTTTAGAATACAAGAGGAATAATTTTCATAGACTATATGGAAAAAGGAGGAAAAATAATAACATCAGACTACTATTGCATATTATTGGATTGATTGATGGAGAAAATCAAGAAGAAACGATGATATTTGTCAAAGAAAAAAATATTGTTTTCGCAGGATAACGCATTCACATGTCACACGTTAATGAATACCATAGAAAAATTAAACGAATTATGGTACGAATTGCTTTCTCACCCAATATAGTGGGTGAGTTTTGGCTGTAATCTCTAGTGACTATTACCTGTTTCCAAACTCGAAAAGATGGTTCTACGAAAAGAGATTTGCATTAAATGATAAAATGGAATAGGAAACTAAAGTATGTTTAGGAGGACTTCATAAATCGTTTTATTTAAATGGTATCCAAATAATGACACATCGTTGGACTCGGTAATCTTAATGGGGACTATATTAAGACATAATATATAATTTTATATAAAAAATGTTTTTTTATTACTTTTTTATTACTTTTTTTTATTACTATTAAAATTTTTGTTGTTGTAGTTCACCACTGTTTAAAAAAACCTCTTTATAAATAAAAAATTAAATAAAAGACAAATATACAAAACTGTGCTTAAATATATAAAAACACCTTCAATAACTCACGAATACGATAAATTTATGATTTATCCTGCATATCCTTGCGTACATATTTCTGCCATTTTATTGTTATTGTATTGTATTATTATTTATATGTCGTTTACATAAAATTGTTGCCATATTACAAAAATATTATAATAGTACCCTGAAGATGACAATACATTATAGTCGAAATATTGATATAATTTTTAAAAATAATTTAAAAAGTAATTTAATATAGTTATACGATTTTAATTGTTAAGTGACTTTATTCACATAAGTTAGTTCAAAATAAATATATTTGTTTAAAAAAATCTATCTAATATGTGTATTTTAGTACTTATTCAAGGACCTCTATTCGTATTGCTCTTTTATGTGTGAAATTAAAAAATATGTAAGATTGAAAATAATATCAATTTTGCATATATTAAATAAATAGAAAAAATGTTTTATTTTTTTAATAATATTGTGTATGCTGGTATATATACATATTCACATAATAGACTTTAACTTATCTTTGTTATTGGTCTGTTTTTTTGTTGTTATTTTGAAATTTATATTTTAGTTTTTCATACTCTTTTTTCAATTATTGTTGTAAATAATAGAGATAGTTGAATGATGAAAGTATCCACATTCGTAGTTGCTGGTTTCTTGAGTTTATTATATAATTAAAACAAAATTGAAATATCATATTTCTTAAATAAACTGTGAAATAATAAAATTTTAAATTTATTTGTTTGTCGAAACTTTTGTTACCATTTTAATTATGCTACACGTCAATTACTCTAATTAGTATGAAATAGATACTATGAAATAACTAAATTACTAAAAATCCACAATATGAAAAGAAGAAGCAAATAAAATCCTTTGTACTCGTACTTGTTGGTTTTATAGTAGACTCAAGATTTTACTAAAATATTTGTTAGAATAAATATACCATCATATAAAGTAATTGTTTATATGAGTTAAATGAAAGTTTGAAGTTTAAATATTATTTAAAAATATTTGATATTAAAGTATTTAATTAACTTTTCGATTAAAGTGGGAAGAGGAAGAACGGGTTGATGTATGTGAATTCTAAATTAATTGCACTCTATTTGAAATTACTGCAATCGCTTTATTAACGTCTCAATTACTTTGGAAAAGTTTCCCGAAGTCGTTAACTTTACTCAAAAAAAAAAAAAAAGGCAATTTCATTTAATTTCCACCACATTCAATAAACTTTAAGTGGCTCAGTGTGGCACTTAACCTACACTTTAACTCATTTAATTTGCCGAGCACTGATTCGCACTGGTGGCTATTCTAACCTACAGTTCAGTTCTCGCCATTCTACAATTCTACAATTCTTCAATTCTTCACTTCTTCACTTCTGTATTTATTTTCCACTCAACTCAACAACTCGACGTAAATTCAAGCAAAACAAAACAGTGCAGGATACACTGCGCTGCATTGTGGAATATGTTTCAGTGTTTCGGAAAAATGGGCTCTCATACTTACCGGACTCATTTAGCTTCGATGTTTTCTGCATGTGCCGGCAGAACATCTCATATTCGCCAGGTGGAGCTTCCGTTGCTGACTTGACGCCATTCATGTGTTTTGTGAAGGCGCCAACAATGGCGGCCATACGTTCGAAGGCAACAATATTGATGTGACCGTTTGGCAATCTATAAATGGTAAAAACAGTAGAAAAGTGAGTGAAGTAGGAAAATAAATAACAAAAATACAAAAACACAAAAACACAACAAAGAAAAAAAACGAAAAAAAAAACAAAAATAAGCGAAAACGTGAAAAAGTGAAACAAAATGAAGTCACTTTAGCTGTTGATAACAGAGGATATAAATTGCCTACGTATGCTGGCCGGGTGAAAAAATTAGAAAAATTAGAAAAAAAGTAGTAAGTAGTAAGTAGAAAGTAGAAAGTCAGTTTATTGGCATTTATGTGTTGGAATTTTAATTTCTTTTCGTGAACGTAAATACACGAAGCCAAAAAAAGTTTGGGCTTTACACAAAGTTAAGTGAATTCTTACAAGTTTGTTTTTCGACAGGAATTCATGCGGCACACAAAGCAGACGAAGGACGAATTTGTATGGATAAGTTCCTTGACCTTGCCTTGAGTAAATTTAAATGAAATAAATTTTTGTAGTTTGCCAACTTTTGAGTTCTAATTGAAATTAAACTGGATTTGTTAGTACATGAAAAGTTTTATGGTCAATTTTTAATTTATCGTCAAAGAAACTAAGAAATTTATTTGAAAAAAATTTGCATGAAATGAAAAAGCTTTGATTACTGCATTTGTACAGTGTAAAAACTTCACCTTGCATTCAGATTTATGTCAAGGGTTTTGAATATTAATTAATTATAATTACAACATATTTTAAAATTATCAGCAAAAGCCTTAGTTAAAAAAGCAGCTACACAACTTTAACTCACCTTTAGCTTTATAACGATATATTCATAAGATGTATGTATATATAGTCTAACCCTCTAAGTGGAGCATAGAGCATAGAGTTTGCGTTTCATATTTGTATCACTGTTAGTTAAACTGTGATAGCAATCACTGTTAGATAAACTGTCATCGCATTTATACCTTCATAAAGTGTGGTAGAAATCACTATGACAAACATTGATTGGAATCACTGTATAATAAACCTTTAATGGTTTGCTGATCTGTGGTCGCAAGCTCAGTTATCTAAACTTTAACCGCAAACACTGTTATCTAAAAAATGATTGCAATCATTGTTATCTAAAAAGTGATTGTACTCACAGTTATTTGAATTGTGATCGTAATCACTATTAGTTAAATAATGTTCGTAACCAATGTTAGCTTAACAATGTTCACATTAAACATTTGCTGAACTCTTATTGCATTTGCTGCTTTATAAAGTGTGATCGTAGTCATTGTGATTGCAATTACTATTTGCTGACTTATGATAGTATACACTATTTACTAAAGTATAGTCGCTCAGTCACTGTTTTCTAAACTATTATTACAATTACTGTTTACTGAGCTGTGGTCGCAATCACTGGTTGTTGAACAGTGATCTCAATCAGTGTTCGCAAACCTATGATCGCATTCGCTGTTTTATAAAATGTAATATTAATCACTTTTTAACAAATAGTGATTGCCGTCACTATTTCTTAAGCTGTAAATGTGATCAGTATTTGCTGAACTCTGGACGTAATTACTATTATTCAAAAAATAATCTCAGCCACTGCTTTCTGAATTTTGTTCACAATTAAAGTCATCTAAACAATAGTCACATTTACTCTCATCTAAATAGTGATCGCAATCACTGTTAGCTAAATAATGATCATGTGATTCAAATAAATTTTTGCTAATTCGTGATCGCATTCATTGTTTACTTACGTGTAGTCACAATGACTGTTAGCTAAACTGTGATATCAATTACTGTTTACTGAACAATGTTCGCAATTGCACTTTACTAAACTGTTAACGCAATCACTATTTAATCTCAACAATGGTTCGATCACTATTTAACAACAAATATGTTAAAAATGATTGACTAAAATTTGTAAGTTGTTCTGAAAAAATGAACGTTTGTGATTTTATTCTAAACATTAAGTTCAATGTCTGAACTCATTCATTTTAAATGCAGAAAATAGCATTGGGAAACTAACCTATATTGGAGAAATATTCCACATAGCATATAGAATAAATGTAACCATCCACGATTGTTTTAATTAGAAATCTTAGGAACAGCCAAGTCGAATGGGTTTGAGACAGCATTATTACAATAGTAATAATAATGGTAATTTAATGTGATATTCAACTGATTTTACCTTAAAATCTTCCTTCAACTAAATTTACCTTAAAGTTTCGTTTAAACATTTAGTGTAAAATTTTATTATTTACACTTTAGCTAATATACCATCGCATCAATCCAACAACTTTACTCAGTGCGATGAACCAAACTAGTATTTAGTAATCGCAAAATTTGAATTAAAAATTTAATTAACAAATTATTAACAAACCACTGCAGTGCTTAATAATTTGATAAATGTTTAGTGGCACTCATTGATTTATAAAACACATACTCATCTAAAGTGCGTATTGATTTAAATCATTATATTATCTATTATAATTGTAATTGTAAATTATGTGAAGCATTTGTTTTAATTAAAGTGTTTGTAACTAGCGAAGTGCACTCATGTTAATATAAAATGTTAATATAAACGTTTTCATAGTTATTATTTTATGTTTTTTTATTTGTTTTACAGAATATCAATTAACATATCAACATAAATTCAAAGTATGCAAATATGTAAAGCGGCACAACAGTGCGTATGAGTAACATTTTGTGAACATTGCAATTGTTTGCGGCCAGTCAAATGTAAACAAATGTAAATATTGAAACGACATTTATGAACATCATAAATTGTTTCAATATTTAAAAACCCAGGAAAAAATAGTATTAAATATGGAGATGTCAAAGTGTGCCATTGGTGTGTTCATTGAGTGCAAATGGCCATGGCAATTGAAGGCAATGTGTGGATTTTTAATACAAATCAATTACAAATAATTTCATTAAATATAGGTTTGATTTGTTTCTGCTCGTTTTTCGATATCACGCTTCACATTGAGTACTCTGTTATGAAATGCTCATTTTCGGACTTTTACGCCATGTAACTTCACCAAATAAGCAACATTTTGTGGTTCATTTGTTTGCCATTTCGATTTTATTCATATTTCAGTATTATTATTTGTTTAATGAAAAAAAGAGAAATGCATATTTACCCAAAACGACAAATTCCACAAAATATTGCATAAACTAATAAATAAATTGGACGCACGATAAAGACAACACATAAAGTTAATTTCGTATATTTTTGATGCATGAAAATATTTCATGAAATAATATTACACAACTCTGGAGTACAGCGGCCGTTCCAAATTGAGTTCATAGTAGCGAGGCTGCGGGTAGCGAAGGATGATATGCAGGATATGCAGGGCATTCAGGACAAGTAAAGAGCACTATTAATTTATTCATGTGTGATTTGAAATTTTCCATAGCCAATTAGTTTTTATGTTGAGCAATTTTATGAGTTTTACGAGTTTCGTCGTTATCGAAGTAGAGTGCATTTGATTGCGCACAACAGCCATCTAGTCGACGGCCAACATGCATTGGATTATGGTCATATTGATTGCATATAAGCTGTATTTATATGCAGTTTTATTGAATTATGGTAATGCCCATGACTGATTTGTTTTTATTACAGAGTTCATTTGTCTCATTGAAATATTATTCATGTAATTGCTTTAATTTATATTTAATTTATGTTACGATAGTCACAAAAACAAGTTCTCCTTTGGTACTTAACAACTGTAAGTGGAAAAATCGATATGGCTTAATTGCATTCAGTCAGATAAAAAGTATTTTTTTATATTGCCTCAATTTGATCTATACAATTTTTTTAATTTTTAAAATTTTTTTTTATGTATCTTTTTCCTTTTTGAAAATTGACTTTTAAAAATAATAATACAATGAATTTTTAAAATTTTTTTATATTATTGTAGGTAAGAACCTCATACGAAATTGTCAGCAAAAACCATAAAAAAGTTCTTTATACTTCAATTTGCATTTAAATTTCAATAAATCCTTCAGTAAGGCATACCAGTCAAGAAAGTTCATGTATTACTTGTGAGTTTATAGAAATAAATTTTTGGTTTTGGATATATATTCACAACCAATAAAAAAAATTAAAATATTAAGTTTACTTTTATGACAAAAAGATATTTCATTCAATATTTATTATGAAAATAATTTAATATTACATTTATTAGTTTCATTTAATTATTTGTGAGAATTCTTTTTAGGTAATTTTTTGGTTTTGATTGCAAAATAAATAAATTCTTTCTTTCAAAGTCTTACCATTTATACGTAAATGCACAGAAGTAACAATCGTAAGAATTAAATTTTCTCTAATAAATTGATTAGATTCGTTTTAATCCATTTAGGTAAAATATTTTGGTTTTAAATGTGGTTAAATATCCGAAAAAGTAGATAACTAATATTTGAATCAAATCGAATTGCAATTCAAGCACCTCAAATTCTAAGCTACTATGGTTATTCAGGATATATGATTATTTTAGTTTTACATTTAAGTTACGTTCAAACTGAAGACTATGAATAACACGAAAAGTATTGGAAAAAAGGAACTATAAGGAAATCAATAATTTGGTGACAAATAACGTTCTAGATATTATAATACTGATGGATATCCAAAAATGCAATAGAGTAGTAATCGACAGAGGCACATCCAGGTTGACAACGGTAAAATAATGCCTGTTGACTGCAACTGAATAATCTGTTATAGTATCAGCGCTATTAGAGAAGAAAGAAATTTATTATAGCCTTAGTTGAATGAAATCAGAGACATCATTGTATTGTTTTTATGTACATTGTGACCGAAAAGTTTCCGGAAATAAATAAATAAAACGCAAAATTCTTAATCTTCATCAATATTATTTTATCTCCTTCAAAATATGCTCCATTAGAAGCGATACACAAATGCCAACGTTTCTTCCAATCATCAAAACATTTTTTATAGGCGCTTTCCGGTATGGCTTTGAGTTCCCTCTGCGAATTCTGTTTTACGTCTTCTATGGATTCAAAACGCGTTCCTCTGAGTGGTAATTTGAGGTT